TGTCAAGCACTTGGAGTCACTGATGGGTTCCCAGGATATATTTGCACCCGTGGTGGGGACTCTCCTGGTGACAGTGAGGTTGGTTGATCTTTGTTGAGTGCAGACAGTGCTGCAGGCCCAGCCAGAGAGATGCAGGCAGAGCTGAAGGAGCCAAGACAATTCTTTGTAGGCTGTTTCTCTTGTTACTGCCCTTTCTTATTTAAAAGGTGTGTGGGAAGACCAGTATTTAAGGAAATGATTCTCTGTTTTAGGCTTTACATGTATTTCAGTTTCTCAATTACTTCTACACCTGCTGTCTTCCTGTTCTGACTGCTCCACTTCTGGCCAATGCAGCAGAAGGCACATGCGAAATAGGTAATGAGAAGTTTTATTTTTTCCCCCATTTTCAGCTTTTAGTGTTTATCAGTGACTGACAGTGCTGATCCCAGCAATCAGCTCGTGAGGGCAGCTGGAAATACATTTGGGGAAAGTGCTTTTCCCCGAGCGTCCATCCCTGCTGCTCCCCCAGGGACTGGAGTTCTTGTGGGCAGCAGTTTTCAGCCCTGTCTTGGAATTCTGACTGTTGATAGAGCTTGATGCTGTTCTTTGGAAAAGATGCACCTCCTTGATGTGTGGCCTTAATGGTGTAGCAGTTTGACTTGTATAACTTAAAGAATATTTGCTGTAAGGGCAAAAAAGCCACAGTTGTGTTTTGTTCTGACCCAGCGTTTCGCTTCCTGAAGCAAAAGTCCACTAAAAACATGTCAGGAACTGTAACAGGAACTGAGCTTGGTGTGCATGACAATACATTATTTGGTTTGTTTGCTTAATTGAAGGCGTTAATTTTCCTTGTAGATGACCATCAAACGGCAAAACTGCTGTCCTTAGTTTTGAAGGTGCTCACGTATTGTGTGGAGTGGCACAGGGAGCACATGAGGCATTACATTATCAGCAGGGATTTGCTAAGAAGTGTCCTGGTCTTGATGAATTCCAAACACACATTTCTGGCCTTGAGTGAGTATAGAACTGTGGTGATCTCCTTCTTCAAGGCTTTGTATGTCCTGTGTGCAGGGTGTTCCAGTGTCAGTGGGCACCTGAACTCAGAATTCATGGGAATGAATTTCTGGACTGGAGCCCGGGCATGTGGCTATTAAATGCTTGAATTTCTCTCTTCATACAGATGCTTTTCAGCTTATGAATAAGGTAATTGACATGAGAGATGAGTTCTATAACCATTACATGGCCCAGGAAAACCTCCTTGAACCGTTTTTACTTGCTCTGTTGGAAAATGGATCTGTGTATCATCTGCTCATCCCGACTGTGATTGAGCTGTTGGGATTCATCAAACTGGTGAGTTCAGCAGCAGCTTCAGCTCTGACATGTCTGGGGCCTCTCGGGGCAAAAGGCAAAATGCAGCCCTCCCAGACTGCACCATGCTGGTTGAATGGCAGTGTCACAAATAGCATTAGGACACTGCCGAGTTTCTTGTCCATTTCCATGCAAAGCTTCATAATTATTTCTAGATTTCAGCTTTTCTATTAAGGATAAATCCAGTTGCTTCACAACTGTTCTTTACAATAGTGTTTTGGCTCTGGCCAAAGGAATCGGTTCCTTTTCCAAATTAAACTCAAAGGTTTCTGAACTTCTGCCTGGGATCATCTGAGACTGAAACCCTGGTTTGTTCTTCTGCAGGAAGATGGCAACTCCCTTAGTGGATACCTAGTGGACAACTTCTGTCAGGCACTTGGATCTATCAACTACACTCAGACTTTTGGACTGCAGACAAGCAACGAGGAAGAAAAGCAGCAACAAGAGCAGAAAGAGAACAGGTAGGCCCCAGTTTGTGTGTCCTGAGCCTGCCAGGGACTGCCATTCTGCAGGGCTGCTCCTTGATTTTTAGTTTCCCAGAGGGCAGCAGGAGCAGGTGGCTGGCACTGGGGTTGGGTTTCATTCTTGATGAAAACTTCTTGGATTAGAGGAAAGTCCCATCTGCCTCCTGTAGTAGAGCTGATGCTGGTCAGTGGATTACTTGTTCCCTTCAGAAAACTCTCAGCTTCTGAAGAGCAGAATCTTGCTCTGTCCCCTGAGCTGGGATTCACTCTGCCTCAGTGTCAGATGGGGTGCTGGTGAGTCTCACAGTGAGGGCAGAACCGGGGATGGGGTTGGATTGCCTTCTCAAGTGTGCACAATTCCCCCTAAAGCTATGCAAGGCATTTCTGGTCCTGGCTGAGTGTGAAACAGCAGCAAAGCTGGAATCACCTGCCCTGTCTCTCTTACAGTGTCCCACACCGTGGCTCCCCTTCAAAGGTGACCCTGAGGCCGGTGGTGGCCCCCAAGGTGGGAGAACTGGTGTGAGGAGCTGTCCTGGGTGGGACAGCAGAGCTGCCTGGGGGGGGTTGTCCTGGGTGTGACGGGCAGGGGGCTGAGGGAGAGAGAAATCACCCCAAGAGCTGCCTAGGGAAACCCTGGCTGCTCTGGGGGAAGGGTTAAGGAAGGACTGGGTGGGGCCAGAGTCTGTTGGTGATCTGGTGGCACAGTCTGATCTTGCATCTTCTGTGTCATTTAACTGGTGCCACCCCTCGGCTTTGTCCCTGCCCAGGTGCTGCTGTGTGGGCGTGAGGTACAGATGGGATTGGGATTTTGGGGGAACTGTGTCAGGGCCCCCTAGCTGGGGGGTTACTGATTGTTTTAAAGCAGACAAAGGCAGTCAGTGACACCTCTGTGGTGCCTGACACAGTCGTGCACTATTGGAATATCCAACTTGTGAGCTCCTGAGCAGCTTCAGCGAAGTGTGGCAGGAATTTGATTGCCCACTCCTAAGGCTGAGTAGCCAAAGGGATCTCAGGGGGCATGTTGGAGTTTGTGCCTGTCCAGCTGGGAGCTTCCAAAGGGATTTTGAAACAACTGTGAGGCCACAGCCAGAGGAACAAGCAAGCTCCAGTACTTTTTGCAGCTTGAGGTTCAAAACCACTCTCCAGACCAAGGGTCTTGGAATGCCAAAGGATCTCCCAGGCACCTTCTGCTGCCTACTGGGGTGTCCTGACAGGCTGGCTGGGGGAGATGTGTACTAAAATTGCACATTGGTGGGTATTTCATCAAGGTGATGATTTCCTTTTTCTAATTGGCAGAGATCTCTACAGATGGATTATACTGATGACGAAGAGGAGGAGATAGTTAAAAGGAAAAGACCACGCCAGTGCTGTTGAAGGAAACACAAAGTCTGGAAGACGAATTGTCATTTTGGGTTTCTAGGTCTTCAAGTGTTAAGTGTTAAGGGTTTGGAGTTAGTTTTAATTGTAGCTATTGTTTGGTAGAAGATAGGCTTCTGTAGCTCTTGTTACTTCAGTAGAGTTTGTTACTTCAGTAGAGTTTGTTACGTAGAAGATAAGCAGATAAGTTTGTTTTATATCCGAGTTCCCATTGTTCTGGTTTTAGGCTGTTTGTAAATACGTTTAAATATAATAGTGTTAAGCTGTTAAAGTTAGGATTTAGAATTTTCCTCTGTAATTTTATAAGACGTTTATCGAAGAATGTTATATTAATAAAAAGTTCCATGAAAGTTGACTGGGCGTGTTGGTTCTCTTTTCCTGGGAGTCCCTGTGGCGTGTCAGGGATGGAATGCCGTGGGCAAAGGAGGGATCCCTCCAGGCTTTGTTACAACTCCACCAAAGCCAAACGGTCCCTGGGGGGTTTTCCTGCAAAAACTCCTGGAGTTGTTTTAAGAGGAGCAGCCCCTCGGCTCAGACGAAGCCCGGAGCCCGGCTGAGTTTCGGGAGCGATGCTCGGCACCACCCCAGCAGAGCCAGCCCCGCGGGGCGCTCAGCGGGACGGGACGGACGCGCAGCCACGAGAGGGGGCTCGGGGAAGGCGCAACGAAGCCAAGGCGAACATCTCATCCCAAAGCTTCCCCTCTGCAGCAGGGGGAGCTGCAAGGGAGCAGCCCGGGGGGCTGTGCCAGAGGGACACCCGTGTTCCCGGGGTGGGGGCTCTGCTCCAACCCCACTCACCGGGAAGAGTTGCATAAAATTCTGAGAAAGCTTCTTGCCTTCTGAGGTTTTCCAAGGAGGACGGATTAGTTTTCAGGGAACTTTCACATCACCGTGATTTTATTGTTGTTGTTGTTCTTTTGTTTGTTTTTTTGTGGGGGGTTTGGTTTTGATTGTTTGTTTGTTTTGTTGTTGTTGTTTTTTGCGGGGTTTGTTTTTGTTTTTAATGTTCCTTGTGCCAGGGTCCCAGAGCTCTCACAGCCCTCCTGATGATTACTGCTTAGTCCTTAGTTTCAAATTTACAGGTTCTGGCAGCTCCTCCATGAACCCACCGGTGTCTGACTGGAGCTGCAGCCGCCGGACCCCGAGTGAAGGGAAGGGAACAGAGCTGGGGGAGGGTCTGGAGCACCAGGAGCGGCTGATGGACCTGGGGGGTCTCAGCCTGGAGAAAAGGAGGCTCAGGGGGGACCTTCTGGCTCTGCAATCCCTGACAGGAGCGGGGAGTCAGGGGAGATCCGGCTCTGCTCCCAGGGATCAAGGGACAGGTCAAGACGACACGGTGCTAAGCCGCGCCAGGGGAGGTCCAGATGGGACATCAGGAGGAATTTCTCCATGAAAAGCTCTGTCAGGCATTGACAGGTTACGCTCCCAGGTGCCGGGAGACCTTTCTCACCCTCAGTCGATTCCCGGATTGTGGAATTCCGTCACGGGGCGGCGGGCGGGGCCCACAGCGATGGCGCCCAGCCCCGCGCCCGTGGGGGCTGCCGGGAGTTGTAGTCCCGGTCGCGCCCAGGTGCGTCCCGGCGCGGGGGCCGCCGGGAAGCCGCGGCCACCCCCGGGGCGGGGAGGGGGGGGGCAGGTGCGGCACCGCCCCCCCCATCGAACTACATGTCCCGGGGTGCTGCGGGGCGCGGGCGGGGCGGGAGGGGGGGTGGGGGCGTAGCGAAGATGGCGGCGGGGGCGCTGCGCCCCGCTCCGGGCTGAGCGCGGCGCGGCCCCCGCGCGTCCCGTCCCGTCAGAGCGGCTGCGGCGGCGATGTCCGAGCCGGAGCACCTGGGCGGCAAGCGAGCCGAGTCGGCGCGGCTGCGGCGGGCCGAGCAGCTGCGGCGCTGGAAGGGCTCCCTCACCGAGCAGGAGCCGGTGGCGGCGGGGGGCGGCCGCGGCCGGCACCGCGGCGCGGGGGGGTCCCGCGTCCGCTTCGAGGAGGGCGCCGTGTTCCTGGCCGCCTGCTCCAGCGGCGACACCGAGGAGGTGAAGCGGCTGCTGGGCCGCGGCGCCCGCATCAACACGACCAACGTGGACGGGCTGACAGCCCTGCACCAGGTACCGGGGGCCGGGGGGGGGCTCCGCGGGGCCGGGGCTGTCGGTAAACAAAGGGGGACGGGGCGCTGCCAGCCGAGCCCCGCTCGGCCGCTGTCACGGCACGGCCCCAGGTGGCCTGTCCTGGTCGGGCAGCGTGATGTGCTGGGCTTTTGCGGGGTTATTAAGGAGCTTAATTAGCGGAATAAAGACCGAGGGGGGCTGTCAGGGCTGCCCGGCCCGGCCAGCTGGCCGGTTTGTTAATTTTTGGAAAAACTTCTGCCTTTGTGCATTCGGGGTCTGCTGAAATAGCAGCGATGCTGGGAAAATTTTCCCGAGGGAGCGCGGATTTTGCAAGGTCAGGAGTGTGTCTGGTCAGCGCCTGTGTTGTGTTTTATCAGAGTTGCCTTGAAACTCCCCAGACTGCTCCTTTAGCAGGGAGCAGAGAGTGCCCTCATCCTCGATAAGCGACACAGATTCTATGAATTAATAGTCGGACACATGTGCTGAAGATGGTACAAGGTGGTCCCAGGCACTGGCTGTGGAGCAGTAGAGCCTTGGCTGTTGAGAACCATGTGCTGTGTTTCACTTGTAGCCTTTGCTGTCCTTGTGTAAATGAGCAGCAATGCGAAGGAGCATGTGAAATTGCCACCCCAGAATATTGGGAAACCTGTTGCTATCTAAGACGGATGGAGAATTTAGCAGGGCATGTGAAATCAGTGTCCCACATTGGTGCATCTGGTCAGTGAAACGAATCTGCTTTGGATCCGGGCCAGCCTCGGGAAGAAAATTTTCTTAGCTCAAGATCTTGTAGATTAAGCATGCAGTGTAGCAACAGGAGCGGGAAAAGAAGCGCCATCAGGAATAACATCTGGAAATAATGTGTTGGTAAAGAGTAACACGTTATTAGCACAAATAGCAGGACAGTGGCTGAGCTGATCAGGATTTCTTCTTTGCTGGGCTGGTGTTACTGAAGCATTTGGGATGTGTCAGCTGGTTCAGGAGCTCGCTGGCTCCTGTCAGGGAACAAGGGGAGGGAAGATTGATACATTTTATTCTGGGCTTCCAAAAATAAGTTATGAAGCAAAGAGCATGGGAGCTCGCAGACCGTCAGGTTGAATAAGGCTTCAGCTGGCAAAGCAGTGAACTTTGTGATGGCTCAGCTTTCTTTTTGGTTGGTTGTGGGTTTTGGTACAGCAGTAGCAAATAAGTTACACTGCATAAGTACTCTCCAGTCTGGCATGTGTAAATTTATTAGCAGATAAATGAGTAGTCCTAGAGACACTGGTAAGAGCCAGCTACTGAAAAGGGTTTGGACAACCAAGAAGGCTGAATTTAAGGTGGATGGTAGAGTTGGGATGACTTTGTGAGGTTGTGATCTCCTCAGAACTGCCTGGGTCTCTTGCTGATGGAGGCAACGTGACCCTTGGCCAGAGGTGCCTGGTGAGGTGTGTTGGACTCGTCCAGCAGCAGGTGATGAGCTCAGCAGGGTCACGCTGCTGGAGCCCGTGGCGAGCCACGTATTGACAGACAGGCTGCACATTGAATTCTGCCTATGTAAAGGGTACAGAATTGTGTTATTATGTGTCTTAGGAGCCCGGTATCGGGTGACACTGACCAGTAACACCAAGGGCTTGATACTTGGAAGAGCGTTTGGATGAGTGAGCAGTGGAGCAGATGCTGGTGGTACCAGCCAGCCGCTTATGTGAAGGGTTTCTTCACTAACTGGACAGGAAGGGAGGGTGACTTCACTGTGACGGGAATAAAAACTTTGTTTCAATGTCCCATGGATGTATTAACATTTTTGCTGAGCGGTGAGGAGATGTTCTTGCACACCCAAATGGAGCAAACACTGTTTTGGTAGAGGTTTTGTTGTGCGTGTTGTATCCTGAGTCTGTAAATCTGTATGGGATGAAAATGTTTATTAGTGTGGTCAGGGAGGTTGTTATGAGTTCCTGGCCAAAATATGTTGGTTTTCTTGGAGAATAATACTGCCTATGGTAAAGTGTGAGCCAAGACCGGTTAGGTTGGGGGTCCCCAGAGCTGTGGTTGAGAAAGGATGTAGTACAGGTGAGGATATTTCAGTAACTTCTCTCAGTGTTAGAATCACAGTGTTACATTACAGGGCAGGTGGTGGTGACCCTCTGCTCTTGTTTAATGCATGTGAAACCAAAGGGCCACAGAGTAAGGAAGGAAATCCTACATGTTAAAAAGAGCTGGCTTTGTTGAAAGAAAAAATCAAGTAAAATATTTTTCCTCGATTAAAGAACTTAATACGAAGTGAGAGTTGCTCTGGACAAGCAAACAGGTCTTTTTAGGTAATGGAAGGGTTAACAAAGTCAATTGACTTAATTTGTCAGAGTCGGCAGCTGCTTCCTCAAAACTTAAGACCAGTCTTACAAATTGGGTTAGTTTGTTTGAAACACAGGGTGGCCCCAAATGTTGTGTGTTGTTCACAAAGGTAAAATTACACTTTCTCTGGTATCTGGGCCACTGTGACTAAGACCCATTGTGTGCTTGCTGGGTGAGAAGCTGCCTTTGCTATTTATAGCCACAAAGCTGTATTTTGAAAATAACCTTTTAAATTACAAGTGGTGTTCCTGAGCCTGCAGCCTGTGTCATCGTCCTCTGTGGTACAGCACAGACCTGCACCACAGCCAGTGTCTGGTGTGCAAATCACCTGGGTGGTGACTTCAGCTGCACTTTTATCTCCCTCAGTGCCTGCAGAATGCTGCTGGATGAACATCAGTCCTCCGTTTTCAGTTATTAACTTAGGCTGTATTCAGGGAATTATTTTTGGCAATAGTTTTGTGTCTAGTGCAGAATGGAAAGGGAGATATTAGTTAAATGTGAGTGAACATTTAGAAATCATCAAGAAAGCTGCTTCCAGTTGGTGAAGTGAACTGTTGGTGGCTGGTGAACTTCTCTAGTGTTTGCAGGTGGTGGGAAATGGGCATGAACTGCTCCCTCTGCCTCCTGAGCGACAGAGCCAGTGGAAGAGTAAACTTACATGAAAATTGAGTCTTAAGGGGAAGAAGTCTGCTGCTTCTAGTTGGGAAAGCATCTCCAAATGTAATGATAGTAGTGCTTGTTTGTCTTCAAGGACTGGTTCACAAAGGATGACAGCAAAGATTGTTTATCCTCTGTCTGCCCTTTGATGATCTACCCTCTTTCCCTTTGGCCTGTTCCAAGGAGAAGTGAGTTGCTCATGAAATAACTCCCGAGTTCATGTCATTTACAAGCACCTTGGCACTTGCTGTTTACTTGTTTTCGGGTGCTGGGCACTTGTGCTTATTCAGAAGCTGCTTCTTGAACAGTCAGGTGCTTTGTGTGGTGACTCTGGGTTAGGTGGAGGCTGGAACCTCTCCAGGAGATCTTGGTTTAAGTTATTCTTCCTTCTCAGCCACGGCTCTAAAACTGCAGGTATGTCTCGGATGCTACTGCTTTATAAAGCTCAGAAGAGCAGTATGTCAAAAGGATTTCAGTTACTGCTCAGCAAATTTGCCCTCTCCTCCCTTCTGAAGGTTGTGTGCAGTCCCAGCAAAGCAGGAGGCAGCAGAATTTTTGGAGAGTCTTAAAACCATCTGGGGGAATATGTTACAGAGCACTGTGGTCACAGCAGTCTGGAGACTTGGAAGAATCATTGAGGTGCTAACACTGGAACAAAATCTGTAGACTGAGGGGAAGAAAGAGAGAGCATTCCTGGGTGGATTGATACTTTTCCTAGCTAGGACATCACTCCTGAAGAGCATGGAGCGAAGGGTTGGGACTCCAATAGTGGCTGAAGCAGCCTGGGTTTGTTTTACAGGATAACTGAGATCCAACCCACACAGTCAAGTGCTGTACTCCTACAGCCACAGCTTCTGGGAATTCATGGAACGACGTCAAGGAATTGTTAAGGTTGGAAAAGCCCTCTAAAATCGTTGAGTCCAACAGTGAACCCAGCACTGCCATGTTCACCACTAAACCATGTCCCCAAGTGCCACATCCACATGTCTTTTGAACACTTGCACAGATGGTGACTCTACCACTGCCTGGGCAGCCTGGTCCAGTGCCTGACCACCCTTTTAGGGAGGAAATTCTACCAGTATTCAGCCTAAACCTCCCCTGGTACAACTTGAGGCTGTTTCCTTTTGTCCTGTCCCTTATTCCCTGGGAACAGAGCCTGACCCCCACCTGGCTCCAGCCTCCTGTCAGGGAGCTGGAGAGAGTGAGAAGGTCCCCCCTGAGCCTCCTTTTGTCCAGGCTGGGCCCCCCCAACTCCCTCAGCTGCTTCTTATCAGACTTGTGCTCCAGACTCTTCCCCAGCTTCATTTACCTTCCCTGGACATGGAATTTCTTAATCACCAAAGGGTAACAACCAGTTTGTGCCCCGAAAAGTGAAGGGATGACACAGTGTGCAGTGACATGAAAACTCTTGAATGAATGTTCAGGTACCCCATCTTTGGGGCATCACAGCTGTGCTTTAAGGTGGTTCAGCTTCTGATCTTTAAGTGGTGATGATGGTGTCATGAATCAGGCTGCATTTTTTAAGATTGGGTGGCTGCATTGCCTAAAAATACATTGATCCTCGGGAGAGAAGGTTATCTAGGGAGAGTCATACCTTTCCCAGTGCCCTGTGCAGAGTTCCTTTCCAAAGGCCTCTGCCAGGGAAAATAGAAGTTGCAAGCTGTTTGTGCTGCATTTAACACTGCTCGTCAAGCTGAAATATGGCACTGTCAAAAATAGGGTTTATCACTAGGGAAACAGAGTTTTTGGGTTTCAGTTAAAAATGGGAATGCAGTAGCATCTACTGTCCCATAGTACTCTGAATAAAGTTCAGAGAGCTTGGAAGTTGCCTACAATATACCAGGAGTTTATTAGACAAAATAGTCAAGTTCCAAATTGCTCTTTTATCAACCTCATGCTTTAATTTTCTTCCTTTCGGCTGACTCAGTCCCTTTTTTGGCTTGATGTATTTTGTCCCTGTGGGTTCATCTGTCTGTCCCTTGCATCTCCATTTCCAAAACAGTCTCCTAAGTGGG